CCTTTTCCTTTTCCTTTTCCTTTTCCTTTTCCTTTTCCTTTTCCTTTTCCTTTCTTTTCTTCTTTCCTCTCTGGTTTTCTCTTTTCTTTTTTTCTTTTTCACACTCACTTTGCTATCTTTTTTCTCTTTTTTTCAGTGTCAATCAATCAATCAAGTTTTTTACAGCCCTTAGGCCAGATACGGTCAAAATATCTAATAATAGCAGTATTACATCCTTCTACGTGTGTGTGTGTGTGTGTGTGTGTGTGTAAAACAGAAAAACAGTAAATATAATAGGGTCTAAAATAGTTAAGAACAAAAATACTAAAATAGATCAAAATAAAATACTATTGTAAAAAATTCCAAACCCAGGTAATGGTGTGGCATATTGTACAGATGGTAGCACAAAACTGGGCAACTTGGGCAGATATTTCTGAGTCCTTGTCCAAAAGAAGCAACATTCTTTGAGTGTATTTCTTATTATCTATGTAAAATCTTTTAATAAAAAATATTAAAAAAAAAAAAAGGAAGTAGGTTAGGTTCAGAAAGTGCGTCTGCCCTGCCATCCAATGAGTTCTGTGGTTGAGTGGGGACTTGAACCTGCTCCTTCTAGTCCAACACTGCATGGTATATTACACTCACTTTCTTCTAAACAAACTAATTTGGCTGCTTATTTACAGTTATATCCCATTCAAAGTGTTGGTGCTTACCTTAAAAGCAGAGGTAGGAAACTTGCTCCTCATAGGCTACACTGTACCACCTCCCCCTTTTTGGCAGCACATCATAGAAAATCAGTGGTGGCACAATTTCCTACTGGAAATTTGGTGAGAAGCAAAAGGAATGGGGTGCGTTAAGCCTTTGAATAGGTCAAAGCATTCCTAAAACAGATCATCATCCAAAACCAAGCTCCCTCAGAAAACTGTGGAGCTGCACAAAATCGTCCATTTGCATTATTGCATGATGTTAATGCCTTGCCTTCCTACATTCTTCGGCCATCAAACACAGTATTTAAAGTATGCCTCCCCCCAGCTGGAAAAAAAAAAGCCCTTCAAAATACCTGATGGAGCACTTCTTCCTATAACAATCTGCTCATGCAGTAATTCCTCAGAAGAGACTTTTTGTAACATTGTACGTGCAGGAGAAGTGCTTAATGAGCTGATGAAAGAAACAATGACAGCAAAGCATTTGGGCTGGAACTGAAATGGAGTATTGGTGCCACCTACATGTCAGATAAATGAATATTTCATCAATCTACTTTTAGGGCCAGATTTCTAGAAGAAGAAGATGCCAGGGACTCCTTTACTGAACTTGCTACTGCAAAGACAGAGTTAGCAAAGAGCTGCTGATTGTCAACTCTTTTGAAAAACTTCATTTTCTTTGATGCCTGCACAGGAACTGAGTTACATTACATAGGTTTCAGGGATACTTTTAGGGGAGTGCACATCTCTCGAATTTTGAGAAGTGGTTGTGGGCCTTCTCCCAAAGGAGCTGCTATGGAAGTGCTAATTTACAAAAGTGTTGCTATGGAAGGCAAAGCCAGTCAGGAAATATCCATTTACTGTTTACTCCCCATTGCCCTCTAAGTTTCTCCAAATGTTCCTGTCACCCGATCTATCTTTGCTCTTTTTTTTTTCTTGGCAAATTGACACACTTCCTAACAAAGAACTGGGGAACAGGCACCCGCAATCTTTTTTTAAAAAGAAAGCTTATGGGGGCCATACCTAGTTTCCACAGGTAATCTTGGAGAAGAAAGACTGCTCAGATGATGAATACTTTACAGTAGTTTGCAGCATGACTATTTAATTTTATTCAGTTACTCTAAATAAAATTAAAGCCAAATGGGAGAAAGAGCCTGATGCATGCCTAGTGCGTGAGCTCAGATTACTTTCGTAGAAAAGTTGGGCCCTTCCTTGCATTTGAAGAAGCTATGCTTAAGAGTGACAGAAAGAGCCTTGTGATTGTGGATATTGGCTTCTTCTTCTATTTCCTCCTCCCCTCCCCCTTCCCCTCCTTCCCCTCCCCCTCTTCTTCTTCTTCTCCTCCTCCTCCTCCTCGCACTTTGATTGTTACCAGAACACTTATGGTAGCCAAAAACCCCTTTTCCCCCTTGCTTGTTTGCTGAAATTATTTGACGTTTAATGTATTTCTTCTTTAACCATCGAAGGACCATTTTCTGGAACCACATTTTATAAGTAAGATGTGTGTTGCTTAGAACAAGTGTTGGTATTCTCCCCCACCGCAACCTTTTGCATGAGCCCAAGGAGTTCATGAAAGACTGCTTGAAACTTGATACATGGAACTGATACAGAAGAGTGTTCATAATAATTGTGAGGTAAGGACGGGAGATGGGGGATAAACAATGGAACATGCAGAAAACAAAAGCTGTGATGAGAAGAAATACAAATAGTCCCTTAATTGAGTGGCATAACTCAGCCCCAGAACCCAAGAACAATCCCTGGTTGGAAAATGGGACTGGAGAAACTCCTGATTGAATCCTTGGAGAGCTTCTGCCAGTCAGTTTTGGCAGAGAAATAAATTCTATGATTTCAGGGGAAGGCAATTCCCTATGTTTCAGAGTTCCAAACACACCACTTTTTGTAAAAATGGCCCTGGCTGGGGGGTACCCATTTTCATTTGGGTCAGAAAACATATCCAGTCATTTCAATGTGGGTACATACTGTATGTGCACGATAAATCAGCACCATAATCCATGGCTGTGGGGCCCAGTTACAGACTTTATGGACATGAAGTGTTAATTTATTCCTAAGAATACTACATGCATAACTGATGTTATTTAATTCTAATTAAGTTATGAGTTATATGAGGTTTTCATGCTAGACTAGATCACTTGCTGAACCAGGCTTTCATTATGTCCTGTGAAAATTCCAGGATGAAATATTCCCTTCGGTTCTGTTTGTGCATACTTTCAGGCAGCTCAGGTATAATAACTGGAGGGTAAAGCATTTTTAAAGATGTTCTTTTTAATGTAAGCCTCACATAGATCAAGCTTCAGTTCTGAAGTAGTTTATAAATAAATGCCATTACAATCAAGAAATAAGGAAGTATCTTATTTCAGAAATTGTCAACAGGGGCAATTATGAAAGTTAGATTCACACAACACATAAACCTGAACCCAGGTTAACAAAACAGAGTTCCTATTTTTGTGTAACATGCTATGACCATACAAACTATGGTCTACTTCATACAGCATACTAAGGTAATGCTGAATTCCTATAACACAGTTAACTACAGACTTCCCAACCCATATTAGTATAGTTGGGGGGGGGGGGTTATATTATTTTTGTCAGGTCATGAAAAGTGTTCTCCTGGCTATAATAATAGGTTTGTGTTATCCCCAAAAACTGGCATTTGCAGTTGCACATTATGAAGAGCAATGGCCTTTTTGCCTTCAATTTTGAAAATGCTGTGTACAGATTGCAGGTTCTTCTATGGTGATTAACTCAAGCTGGGTTTATCTAATAAAAAGTCAAGTAATGTCAGCAGAATTTGGTAGCTACTCTAGTCAAACTCTCATTTTCCTGTTCAGTGTAAAATCTGCAATGTATAAAATCTGCAATGCAGGGTTTATTGTTACACCTTCCCCATTAGGCTATCCCATAATGACCTTCAGGTGAAAGAACAAACTACCTCTTGAAGTAAGGGTATTCTCTTGCTAAGTCACTCTCACCATTTGGTGGTATCTACTAATTTTAAGCAATCCACTGGTTTTTGTTCTGTCCTCTGGAGAATAAAGATAAGACTAGCTTAAAGGTTCTTAATTCAAATCATACTGCCACATTTGCCTGGTCATCTTTCAGCCTCTGCTAAATCATGTCTTCCTCTGGCATTATTTTTCTTCATTTGGTAGGTCATCTTCATTGTAAGAGGTTCAGAGCAAAACAAAAAACACCCCCAATAATGCCCCCCCCAATAAACCATTTGCAGTGTGCTTTCAAAGTGGTGCCACATATGTCAAGAGAATAAAGTGCTATCAAGCTGCAAAGTGGAATGCTTTTACACAGCCAAGCACTCTTGACCTGAAACTAAATATTATAGATAAAATAACACTTGAGAGATGCTGTTCTTTTACATTGGACTTAGCAGTCATCTCATGACCTGGTTTTTAAGTTAACATCTCTGGCCTTTACCCAAATATGTGATTAGCATATTTCAGAATGCAGCCGATGGCAGTATACATTTTCCCAAGTTGCACGCTAACAGTCACTATGACACTAGTTCTCAAGACCCAAGGAAAGTTTACTAGCTTTTGCTAATGCTTCGACTTTGGGGATTTTTGAATTTTACTTAAGGTATAAATTTGTCCAAACTGACTGAATATCATTCTCTGAAACAGACTCTCCATGGCAGCGAGAGGGAGAAGCATAAAAATGTGTCAGAAATGCTGTTCACTTACATAATGATTGCTGTTCAGTAATATGCCAAGGCTAGTAGTCATAACGACCCTGTAGTGCCTATGTGTATCATGGAGTCTCTCAAGAGAATAGAAAGGAAAGGGCTCTTGGACGGATGTCCGGCAATTTGGAGTCTTTAGGATAGAATTCTAGACAAGGTAGACTACATCTTGTATGATCTAACGCAATTTAATGGAGGTAGGAATTAATCAGAGCATGAAGAGGATCCAGCAGTGACATTTTGGCCTCAATCTTCAGCAATTGCTTCCAACAAGGAAGTCCCACTGAACTGAGTTACCTCAGAGAAATGTGCCTTTCATTGTATGTATACTTTGGTTTTAGCTTTGCCTACATTCTTTTCCTAGTCTGGCTCCCAGATCTTGGATTTTCAATCACAGACACAAAGATCCATATACATGTAAAGGTTTCACATTTTCTTTATTGTTATTTTAAAAGATTTGTTTCATTTCCAAATATAGATCTAATTTCTACATATAATTTAAAACTGTTCTAGAAATAGGACTCTTTCAGACAAGTTCTCCCATTGCTTTGTGACTTGGAACACAGAGACAAAAAGGACAGGGATACAGAGAGAGTAGGACCGATGCCATGCCCTACTTCATCTTTTGGGGAAAGCAGACACATCCCACATTCTTTGGGCAAAGGAGCCCCAAAGAAAGATTTTTGTCCTTTTTCTCCAGAAGTACATTTCTGTGTTGTATATCCTATGATATGTAAGCTGTGTTCACACAACATGCTCAACCTGGCTATCGAATTAACTAGTTTTCAGGGTTTTGCACAATACGTTGCATCATAAATGAACCAACTGGCTTGGTTTGCACAACACTCAAGTCACAAAAAACAAAAGCCCAAGGTTAATGCTAACCAAGCTATGCTGGGTTGGTATCACCATTAAATCTTTAATTCATCTGCTTAAGCATGTTGTGCAATGCACTCAGACACTGAGATACTGATGTTTAATCTATGTTGAGCTAGGCAGCAGAACTTGCTTACTGTTTGCACACTGGAAGGGCAGATATAGGCTACCCCCTCTGAAACCTCTGTGGGTTTGGAAAAGAAAAGGAAGGAGAAAAAGCCCTTGAGACTCTGTGTGATTGCTTGCATTGGTTAATGTACTCCTTTATTTTATTTTTTCTCTTCCATTTCTACCCAATCTTTTTGCTGATAACATTGGACCTTATGGCCACAAACAGTGCAGACATCCCAAAGAACCAATCTTTGTCTGGTTGCAAACAAGCATTGGAACCTGATTTCTAGCTCCAGTCTAAGTTACAGAAAATAAATAAATATTAAAACACATAAAAGACAGTTAATGTTGCCTAACACTGAGAACGACCTGAAGAGGTTAAACAAATGGTCAGTTGGCAACAGGGACTAATAAGTAACTAGTAACCTTTGATGACTACCTAGCATGCCACAAGAATGGTTCTCTTACAAACTGAGCCATTAGGCTGCAACATTTCTTTTGCTCCTTCCTTGCAATTTTCAGACTTTCAAGATTCTGTACTTTGATCCTTCTAACAATCGTGATCTTTCCAGAAACCCAAGTGGTTGTTTTCTGAGTTTGCCTGCTTCCCAGGGCTTGACATTAATCTTGAAAGCTCACTCAAGCAATTCTCCATATCAACTTATACTTAGTGTTTAACATAATTACGGTGGATTTACTTGAGTCTCTATCTCATGCTTCTCCACCCCACCCTCTCTCCTGGCCTGAGGTGTCTCTTTTGTGATGGCCCTGTTTTCTCTCCCTTGTTCCTAAGGCCCGCTAGATATTCCGTCACATGACGCTTCTGCTGGACAGGAGTTACCTAAGGCAGTGCAGCTAAGTTGTTGCTCTTAACAGTTATTCTCTATCAATATCAGAAATCGGCTAGAAGATTCAAGCTGACTTCTACCATGTTTGAGCTTAATATGCAGACCATTCATAACGACTTGAGCCAAATGTTTGTAACTGCAGACACAGTCTTCTCTCTTCACTGCTCTTCCAACTGGACACCAAGCTTAGAAATAGCCCCTACTACCCTGAGTTTCACACCTGGCAGTAAGTTTTCTCTGTAGTTCAGATAGGTCTTCTGGTATCCAGACCTTCTTCAATGAGAATATAATATATGTACACTATACAGAGTTAGTGAGTGCAACAACAAATACATTAAAAAAGATCTACTCTTATATACAGTATTTATAAAAAGCAAGTTGACCAGCCACCACCCCAATACAAAAATACATGTTTCTTATTATGTGCATTATAGTTATTAACCCCTAGAAATAATTACTGATTGACTTAAAAATTAGTTTGAACAACAATCCGACCATGAAATTAATAGGATGCATTATATGAATGAATGAGGCTTTTTAAAATGACTTTTGGCAAGGCAGGGGGGTTGAGGATGACAGACATGGTGGGGAAAACTAAAAGTTAACTAAAAGTTGAGCTAAACTACGTCAGAACCCTACATATAGTGTGAATGAATATGGGGATTATTTTTTTGTTCTTCTTTTCAGACCACGTTCTTAGCCTGTCCACTTGGAAATGAGTTCCAGCTATTTAAAGGAAATTAATTTGTTTAGGATCACAGATGTGAGTAATCTGTTTGCCTTTTTGGTTACATGGAAATAATGCAGAAGGCGTTTAGTGTGTAGTGCAGGCCTTGTTGCACCAACTTCAAAGTGGAAACACTCCATTATACAAACGTCATTCAGGTCAATTGGGCTTGCTTGGGAATTTGGTAGCACAAGGGCAGGAGCAGGGAAGAACTGTTGTCCATGTCTTCACTTGGAATTAGACCAGGATTTCAGAATGAAAACAGCTTGTTCCTGATGCTAGTACCAACACTAATTTCTTCTAAAGGTTTGACTTGCTCAATTATGTCCCTCAAGTTCAGTTTGTAACGTATCCCATTTTGGAACATTTTAGTGTATGAGTCTGTCTTTGAGACGATTAAAAGAAAAGAAGAATAAAGCCACAGCAGCCTTTCGAGGTGCAAATTATTGGAAGCTGCAGGAGTCACAGGTTACGGCAGAGGGCAGTATAGCTTCAAGAAGTGCCTGTTAGGTACTGTGGCGCTAGAACTGACAAGCCACTTCAGTGTATCACTTTAACTGAGCGAATGCTACATTCCAACACAGTTGTGACACATTGTTATTCCCCACCCTGCAATCCCATTCCAGTCACCCCAGGGATGGCACAAAGATTATTGCTGAAAGTGCACAGAAAGTGAGAGATTCTGTTGCTATTCCCCGTGTAGGGCCTACATGAGGCACTGCTCTGCATGGGTGATAGCAGAAGAAAGCTGCAGAACTGTCAGGGCCAAAGAGCTCTAACAGAAGAAGCCCAGTGCTTTCCGTCTCAGGCATTCCTTCAGGCATCTTGCTCTGGCCTGAGATTTTGTTCCCCAAAACACAGCTATCCAGTTTACCTTAGCAACATATCTGGACATCCAACATGGAATGGAAAGCTACTGCCCTCTGCCCTGAGATACCTATTCAATCATTGTAGTTCCTGGATAAACACAACTCTCCATGAATTTGTACTCTATAGGAGAGCACTTACATTTTGAAAATTCAGTATGCTGCAGGAATGCTGAGTTTCTTGCTCCAATATGGATCAATATTGGGGGGGGGGGGAAATGCTGCTACACTTTAAATTCTGAAATATTTTATATGGTACAGCAGATTTGTACAACACAAAAAGCATGTTTTTGTAATCCAGTGCAGAAAGTGCATCTTTAAAATCTCTTAACATTGCTTGATTTGATGTGCTAGCTATAGGGCAAGAGGGAAGAAATGTATTCCGTTTCACTTGCTTAGTATTGTTAACTATTAAGTATTTCAGTGCTTCCTATAAAACCAGAGGAGCTACTTTTGTCTGATGAATGTTGGAAGGTATGAAAAATGTTCTTCAGGATTATGAGAGAAAAGTAGGACAATTTTGCAAACATCATTATTAGCTTCTTGTTGCATAATAAGGATTATATATTAGGACTAAGTACTGAATATAATATACATTCAGACTAGAGATGACAGTTTGTACCTGGGAACCATCAGAGTACCCATAAAGCTTCAAAAGATTTTCACAAGTCACTGATGTAGCACAGCAAAACAACTAGCCTCATGATCTTCCTTCAAATCTTCTCAGTAAGAACCAATTGCATCTTTGCTCCCTTGTTACAAGGACTAAGCCCTAGATACTATGTAAAACAGGTATTAATTACAGGGAGGAAAAGTTGAATTGGTTTCTTCCAGCCTTGGAATGTTACATCAGCTTTGGCATCAATTAGGATGCTATGTTTTTTATTAAAGTTTTCCAGTTTGCACATCCTGAAATCAGCTCAACTTCATGAAATCCTGCATGCTATATGTCATCCATTGTTCAGATGACATATACTTTTCTATTGAAGGCCTCATGACTGCATGCTTTAAATGATAGATGAATCCTGAAAGCCAGCCTTCCCAAATATGATGCCATCTAAAAGTGTTGGGATTGCAACTCCCAGAATTCCCCAGCCAGGGTGGTGAAATGTACCAGGCTGGAGGAATCATCTATCCTCTATACTATTGTTAGTAGTCATTCACTCACCATAAATGATCAACTGTTCATTAGTTTGGAGGGAAAAGGTGTGACTCTTATCTCACTATTACATATAATAGCAAAGAAAGCCACTGTTCCTTTTATTCCATAACTGAACAAAAGCAGTCAACTTTTCAACTGACCACTGTAACTAAAGCTTTAACAGGGATTTCATCTGAAGCAGCTAGAGGAAATCTGCTGCTTTGAGAAAGTTTAATGCTAATTCTTTCAAGTCAAAGACTGGTTAAAGGCATGGTTGCAATCAGATGAAAATGTACTAGATGTGTTACAGATAAGCTCTGTTCTACTTGCTAAGAATAAGAGACAGAACTACCAATTCCATAGGGATACTTTCCACCTTAGATGCAATGCAACTATTTCTGATAATTCGCCATTAAGATTAAATCTGACATTTTTACTGACAACTTGGTTTTTTCCAGTGGTGTGCTGGTAAATGTATAACAACAGGTTCTTTCAAGCTGATACAGTATTAAGGGGAAGGAGCCTGTTCAAGGTGTATGCTACTTCTAGGAATATGGCTGCTGGGAAATACGCTGCCAAGCTCCTCCAATGCCTCCAGGCCTCAATGACATTGCTGGCTCCAGTACCATCACTGCACTGTGTGGCTAGCCATCCAACAGCTGATTGGTGCACCAGCCATTGTGGCTCAACTCTGCTTTCAACAAGCTTGCAAATTTTTTTTAAAAAATTAACAATCGGCTCTTATGAGCCAGGATGAGCTGGCTCCAACACACCACTGGTTCTTTCTCACTGTTCTTCACAACATTCATTTGAAGGATGATCAGTCCCTTTATGGTAAATACTACTGCAGCCATTCTTTTCTCTGTCTATATGGGACAGAAACCTTGTGACAGGGTAACTCTTCCCTGTACACACAGTAGAGGGGAACTGAAGCTACTGTCATACATTATAGGATGGAAATGGATGATCTCTAGATTTGGTGAAGGGCCCATTTACATAGCTTCAAGTGATGAATATTTTTTTTATGTGGGAGCCTGAGACACAAAAGTCTAATTAACATAGAATCTTAAAACTGATTATTGCTTCCCAGTGGAACGAAGGGACAGCAGTTAGGTTTTGAAGACATGAACAACAGGACCATCTCCTATCCAGACTGAAGCTCAGTTCCATATAAGGAGAGAGAGAGCTATATTGCCCAAATTCCAATGTCATCATCTGTTCTCTGCTTCATCTTCCTAAGGGTAATTCAGAACAGGTAAATAGATCCTTGGAAACCAGTGCAAGCCTTCAGCCCATCACAACTGGTACTTCAGAAGGCCAGAAATATCCCAATTTGTCCCCATCAACAGCTCTCCTATTCTAAGACCTATGGCTATCAAAAAAGTGGCAAGGAGTTCATTATAGAGGGCAGACAGCTGCCCACACTCTAGCCAAGGGAACTGAGCCAGTGTAAGGGAGAGGAAAAGGTTAGGGCTGCCAAGTGACATCTGAGGAGGATTAAGGATCTGTGGTTGGAGCTGGGATTGTAGCCAATAGGACTTTTTAAAAGGAAAGCACATTGTTTCTTTCCTAAATCTCTTCAAGCTCTGAAAAGCCTTCATCTTTCATTCTGTAGCCCCAAGGTAATATTCATCTAATATAAAGTTTGGCCCAAGTCAACCATTCAGTTGTGAACATGAGGTGAGAGCCCTACATCCAAGTTCTTTAGCACAGTGGCTCGATTTTCTTCTGGCCCTGCTGACTTTTGAGTCCCCTCAGTGTGGGCCAGCTGAACTGGACACCTAGGACTGGACATATACGATATATCATAGCAGCCTCTCCCCTCCCTATCCCTTGAAATGGGCTATTTCTCCAGTTTATATGCTCATTAGAGTTAGTCTGGCCCATCCCAGACTTTGAGAGAAAATCCAATGCCCAGAGAGCTAGAGATTGGCTTCTAGTCTAGTCCAGCCTGCAGCACCTCTGGCTCAGTGTGAGTGTGAAGATTTTGTAATGGAATAGCACCCCTTGGCTCAGAATGGAACCAGGGATGAAAGAATTATACAGTACTAACAGAGATCAGGGGCAGGAAATGGATCCAAGCCATTTGAGTTTCCCAAGGCTTTGTTGTGCATCATAGGGCTCCAGATCTTGCCTAGTGGCTGCCTCCACTCTTTATGCCACCTGATACCCAGTCGATGATAATGAAGCTGAGGCTCATGGTCATGAAGAGCACACCGAGGCATGCAAAGAGGGCTGCCTGCAAGGAGAAGAGACAGGAGGAGAAAACAGTGTCACTCACAGAAAGGAATGCCAAAATGTGGGAGCAGAAGTATATGAATGTGCAGCCTTCAGTATTTCTCTTCTCTCTCCCAATATCTGGAGCAAGAAGAGTGACCTAGTCACTGAAAGTCCAGATCTGGTTCTCATTTGTGCCAGTACTAGTGCAATAAAAAAGATCGGTTGGCAATTCACTCATAACAAAGTATGCTTCCCATAGCCGTATACAGTGGAACCTCGGGTTACGAATGCCTCTGTTAACAAACTTTTCAGGTTACGACCAGCTCCGGCCGCAAAAATTTACCAGGATTTGCGAACTCCGCCTCAGGATACGAGCAGGATATGCGGCCATTTTCCCTCCCGTGACACAGTCCGCGGCCATTTTTCCACCCCTGACACGTGGCCCGCGGCCATTTTTCTGCCCTTGAGACGGGGTCGTAGGGAGGGGGACTCTCCCTCCAAGCAATAGCCGCCTCCCTGTCCTCCCCGCCAGAATGGATTCACGGTAATTAAATTGAACCT